TTTTTTTATAAGAGGGTCATCAAGATGCCTGAGCTATATCCTTTGGGATGGAGCAAAATCGAAATTACATTGCAGAGAAACAATGGTTTTTAACCATGCATTATAACTGACCTCTGAGGGATAACCCTTTTTTTAGATATACATCCTAGAAATGTTAGATTCTTTTTGAATTTAAACTACTCTGTGAAATGGTACAGTAAATGCCACTATAAGGAAAACCAAAGAAATGGTGCAAATTTTTAATACCCAATGGTGCAAAATGTTAATACGCAAACTCAGAAGCCTCTGGTTTAATATAATTTGGCAAAGTTCTGTGTTTTATGAGGGTTAGATCAGTACTATTAATGCATTTTCAAGCAGGTGAAGTACTTTCTCTCATGGTTCACTACATACATTAGTGCTGTGGTTGTTTACTAGAGGATGTGAGTACTTCAGTTAGGACCATTACTCATGACTGTTGCCGGGAATATTTCAGAACAGGCAGATTAGTGTTTTTCAGAGCTGTGACTCCCTCTTGTCTGGCACATTGTCTTCTACAAAAAAACACTGGCAGATCTGTGAGTTTCCTGCCCACAGAGCCTATTAGGTTGTGCCTATCCTTTTGTTTGCTTGCCTTGTGAAATGGTAGAGATAACAGGAGGATCTAAATTGTGTGGCTGCCTGTCTTGCAGATTTTGACAATGGCTTTGTTCTAAAATAAACCACAGCAGGGCTTTTGCCCAGAGTTGTTAACATGATTAAATTTCTCATTCCTAACTGCAGGGAAATCCCATCTCTGGCTGATACCTGCCCATCTTGCCCGTGTAGCTGAATGAGAGAGGAAGCTTTAACCTGTCTGGACAGTTCTAGCTCATTATTCTCATGGAGATGTACTGCAGCTCATTCCTGCTTATTCAGATCAGGAAGAATTAGGTGTCCTTTTCCCGTCTTTGTGCTGGGCTGTTGTAGTCTACAGCATTTCCCGAGCCTAGTCTGGATTGAAGGACATTGAGTCAGATCTATTGCAGATTTCACAGCTTGGATATGTGTATTTAAAGATTTCTGCCTTTTGAGTGAGTGAATTCAGCAGACAGCCATGTGTGAGCTGCAAAGGAACAAGGAAGTAACACCTAAAGAAAGCTCCGCTGTTAAACCATTTCTCTTTATGCCTCAGTGTATACTTTACCTCTGATTATTCTTTACGTGAAAAGCCTCAGCCTCTCATTAAAATGACATTTTGGTGAACCTGCTGCAATTCATACCTATTGAGTATTGATTTAGAGTGCTGCAAAGGACACTTTCAGTCCTTTTGTATATGATGTCATTTTAAGGTTTGCATATTGCATATGGTTTTCCAAATGTTTGCTGAATCAAATCTGATACAAGTTGCAACATACTTTCTGTCAAGTTTTGTCCAGAGGACCCTAAAATGCATCTCCTGAAAGCGTCCACTAAAGTCTGCTAGGTTTGGTGCAGACAGCAGGCCTCAATTCTGCTACATCGTCTGTTTTTTTGGCTCTGTGCCTTTTTCTGTTTGCCAGTGGCCCTACTGTGAGGTCAGAGCTCTGGAGTCTTGCACCCTGGGCCTTGTAGACAGAGCTACCGAGCCTGGCGTTGCTATAGTGACAGCAGCAGCTCTGCCTCTCTGTGAGCTCAGCAGGCCTGGGAGGGGCCTGGCTGTATCTGGGACAGAGCAAGAGCCCAGTGCAGCTGATCAGAGCTGTGCTGGGCGGACTATGTCGGTGAGAGACCAGGGAAATGTTACTGCCAGAAAGGTTGCCCAGCTCAGTCACCCATTGCTGGAGAAAGGTACCAAGATTTAGCCACTCATACACGGCTGTGCTTGCTTGGAGCTTTGTGTTTTGCAAGGGCCTGGCTGCGTCTTTATTTTTGCTGTTGTGGATTGTTTCTAATGTTAGCGTTGAGTTGAATATTGATTTTTCTTTTTTTTATTTAAAAATGCGTCGCTGTGCTGCTTGTGGAATCATTTGTTTTACCTGGCAGTGTACTTGTTTGGATTCTGATGTGCTGTGGCAGCGTTGGATTTGTGGTGTGTGCAGAGCTTTTCGGTATTTGCATAAACATTGTTTAATGGAATTCAGTCGAGAGCATGTCTCGTTACAGAACATGTTCCTTTGCATGTCCAGAACGTGACTGCATTCCCTTATTGTTCCTCCGATTCAGTATAGAAAAGACGAAGGAAGCAGTAACTAGAAAAATACTCTATCGGCTTATTCAAGTACAGCCTTTATCCAAGGCAAACGACTTTCAGATCACTTTTTTTTATTCCAAGTGGCAGTACAGGATGTACATCCGTCTGGAGTGAAGTTTTCTATCGCACGTACACAAGAGAAGCTTACTTGTGTTTGAGTTTATATTCTGCAATTTTTTTAGATTTTCAGTGTATAGTGCTAGGCCTGTATTTACAAGAAGACACCACAGAATAAATTACAGCCTCTTTGTTTGCAAAATAAAAGGGACAACCCAAGCCAATGTTTTGAAGGAAACGTATGGTCTTTGACTGTTCTTATAGTTGACCATCTTAACTCTTCATCATCAGGTTCATTCAGTTTGGTTATGCATGAGATGAATAACTATGCTCTGTGATCTAAACATTTGGTTTGACTGGTTTTGAAGAAGCTGCTTGAAATAATTTCTCAGAATTTCTAATTGTCACTTCTCATAAACCATGCATCCTAGCAAATAAGTTTTACAGCGACTTAGTCTACACATGGTCTCTGTAGGAAAAGATGAACATCCTACCATAGAATGTTTGAACAGTTCAGAGAATAAGAAGAACAATTGTTCAATTATTGCAAGTACACAAACCTTTAGTTTGTAGTTTTTATGTTAAGGCTTGTTTTTTCCACTTATTGCTGTTTTACTGTACTCCAAGGTCTATTAAAGTAAAATATCCTACTATTGCATATTACAAATGAAAGTATTAAAGCAGAGGAAATCACTGGGTCCAAAGGAATTCACATTTGTAATATGTTCGAGTTGATAAAGCCAAGTGTGATACAAATGAGACTGATGACTGTCAAACTCTGAGGTTTAGGGCCCAATTAGTGTTATACTGGTACAGTATACCAGAGACTTCCTGAAATATGAATATTAAGTTTCAGAAACATTGTGGTTTTGTTAGCCACAAAATTGATTTCTCAATTTCCTGTTAGTTCAGATGAATAAAACACCTCTTGTTTATAGATTAAAATAGATTTTAAGGTGGCAACTTGCTATAGTCAGTACTGAAGTGTATGATGAAAAGATTAGGTGCACTCAGCAGGGCCAACCTGGTGTATATTAAAATTAAATTGGCCCATTCGCTAACACTTTATAACAAATATTTTCTTGCCATCATTTTGCCTCTCCCACTCTTTCAATTTTTGTGAACTCCATGAAATGAAATTTTCCATGGACTTTTAAAATGACAAATTTTTATGCACTCTGGCATAAATTGTCATCAGCATTTTAGCAGCTCATTGTAGATTTAACAAAGCAAGTTATCTGTATACCCAATATACCTTATTTTGTGCCAAGGGATTTTTGTCATTTAGCTTAGGTTACCATTAAGTTAAAATGAGATCACTAGCATTGATTAGTGCAAAATGTTTTGCTATGTTCCCCGCCTAGATCTCTAACCAGTATAATCTGTTTGAGACCTAGAGCCACAGATTGGGAGATTCTCAGTGGGTTAACCCTGTAATGCGTCTGGTCATCTCAGAGCAGATGTTGCAGATTGCTGAGATGGCTGTGTTGTCTGCTCATTATACCAGCTGATCACAGAAAAGTCTTCATGAAAGAGTAAAATCTGAATTCAGATCCCCCCCCTCTTCTGAGTGATAGTACCTTATTATTCAGAAATCCAGTATTTTCTTTAAAGGGTATATTTTTTCTGCGCTTGATTTGCAGAAGGAAAATTCTGCTTCCTGACCTTCAGTTGGGTATCAAAGGTGGCTACTGCTGCTTTTGTTTTTGCAGTGAGGTTTTTGACAAAACCGTAAGGGGTGTGCAATAGATGTGTACCAGTTTGCGTTTTTATCTCTATAGGTCCTTTATTTAAACGATACACAATTTTAGCAGTAGCCAGAACAGTGTTTTGATACACATTCAGTTTCAGCGCAGTTTGCAGTTGCAACAAACAAACGTTCCACGGTGATAGGCTTATGGAAGCTGTTATACTTCTATTATACTACATGAACTGTAAAGGTATGGCAAGCCTTTATTTCATTTGTATACCTGTCTACACATCTGTGAAGGAGTTGCCTATTTTACCCACTACACAGCAATGTAAAGGCAAATTAATGGTTAGGCAGGAGCTGCATTTTTGTTATTTGCCAGGGCTGTTAACACAGTGGAGTAATGACAATTTTAGTGAAAAATGAGAAGTACATTAATATAGGCTGTGTAATTTTAATAGGAATGCAGTGATGTTCTGGTACCTCAATTGCTATTCTGAGTGAAGTCTTACAATGTATCAACTTACCAAATGTTCAATATAACATAAATTGAAAGTATTTTTTTTTTTAAAATTGCATGAAAATACAGATTAACAATCGGGAAGACTGATTTCAGACAACTTTGAAATCACATCTTATATTTCACATTAGTTCATTAAAGCTCTTGAATTTAAATGAGTGCTTGATGTATAAAACAGAATCAGAGATTAAAAATGGGGATTCAAAAGTTAAAATGAGACTCAGTGTTCATACTCCTACAGGAATGATAGTCCTTTAACTGCAGGCTCTTTCAAGTCATGGATGCATTGCTTGCAATTGCTCTATTCCTACTAGTTTTAATACAAAGGTTTTCCGGCTCCAGCAAAAGCTTTGCTGTGCTGCCCCCTTGTGTTTTGAATTATGAAGGACAGTTTGCAATAATTCTGCAGCATAGCAGCAAATAAATGCAACAGCTGCAAAATGTGAACTGTTTTATGTAAGTTGTGTGAATTAAGAGGATAATACATTTTTACTTTCGGCGGTGATTGCTAACCAAGATGTCTCCTGTCCGTTTCATTTCAGCTGAACTGGAGTTTGTTCAGATAATCATTATAATCGTGGTGATGACAGTGATGGTTGTCGTGATCATCTGCTTGCTGAATCACTATAAGCTTTCCACGTGGTCATTCATCAACAGACAGAGCCAAGGCAGGAGACGCGAGGAGACACTGCAGCCGGTGAGTCCAGCACGAGCCATGTGCTTGTAGCCCACAACGAGCGTCTTTTTGTCTTTGGCAGGCCAAGCCACTGCTATGTGTTCCAACTGTTCTTGCTTCAGTTTCATCTGAAATGCATCAGCGCACATGAAGCATGTCAGTACAGCCCAATAGCCTTTCAGGCTGTACTCGGTGGAGCAGAGAAGTGGTTTGGATTGAGCTTTTGTGTGGTCTGGATACTTCATAAAGCAACTGGTTTCTTCAGATGTCCTTGTAGGGCCCTGGCACTGTAATTCTGCCACACTGCCAAACAAAGCACATTGCCCTGCCCTTTTCTGCTCATTTGACATATACATTTGCCTTGCAGTTTGATAAAGTTCATTGTGTGGACAACTAACACAATGACAGGCTCCTGCTTTAGATATTTACCAGAGATTATACATCGGGTTCATTACCCTTCGACCTCCTGGGGAAAAAAGTGAAATCATGGGTAGTAGTCTCTTGTGACAGTTCTATATTAAGGTTCTGAAACAGTTTTATAATGAACCATTTGAATTATCCTTTGTATTGCTCGGATTAACACACTGACAGATGTGTAATCCAAAGCATTCTTATAACAATTCTTTTCATTTATTCTTGGAGGCAATTCTAATTGCATGCATCCTGGAGTTTTAACTCTTCCTGGCTATGGTGTTCTTAGTATTCTGCTAGAAACTATCACCTCCACCAGCATGCTTTGCAGTTTAATGGTTGTAGCATTAATTGGGAAGGTTGAACCTCACAGTGCCTTCTTTCTTAACAAAAACTCAAAAACATTGAAATTTACCTCTACCTTACATGTCAAAAAGCTCACTCCCCATAACTTTGTCCTTTTATTTCATTCTGTTGATGTTGTTTTTGCACACTGCCTGTTGTCTCAGTCTTTCTTTTATTATACAATTGTATTGTTTTTTGTACTACTTATCGTCTGAGAACTAGCTAAATGGCATTTCGTTATACCATATACGAGTAAAATGACAATGAACTTGAACTTTTCCAGTTCTATAAATTTTCAGTGAGTTCTGCACAGAGCTGTGAAGTGTTCATACTGTATACTGTGCCAAGGTTTGTGAATCCCCAGTATAATTAGGGTAATTAGAATTTCTTACCATAATACCCTTGTTTAATCAAAGCCAGTCTTTTCTTAAATATCCAAAAGTGTTTATTTTTAATCAGTTCAGTATTTGAGATGCAATAGTGTATGAAATAAAGCAAATTGGTGTGTGTGAAACATTTTTAACCACTTCTACATAATGGTCGCAAATATTTTGATCTTCACCATTCAAGTGAGGGAACAGATGTCATCATCCCACGATCAAAAGGACCTCAGCACATGAATAGTTGATGCTTTTCAGCCTGGAGAGCATTACAAAACCATTTCTGAACATGCAGAGCTCTATCCATTTTTTTGTGACAGTTTACAAATGGAAAATATTCAAGACCACAGGACTGCTAAGATCTGCTTCAAGACCCAAAAACCAAACACCCCAAAATTGAGGCAGTCACAAGGAACCCCTGGGTAACGTCCAAGGATCCTCAGGCATTTCTTTCAGTGGCTGATGTCCGTGTTCGTGCCTGAACCTTTAGGAAAGACGACAAATGTTTTTTACTGGAGGATAACCTGGAGAGAAAAGATCTTAAAAAGGAATGTTTGCCACCATCTCGAGCTCACCAGAGAGCACCTGGACAGTCCACAAGACTATTGGGGGGGGAAAATGGTCTCTGGACAGACAAGTCCAAATTTGACCTTTTTGGCCACAGTAAGAAACTTTTTTTCTCCCCCACAGATGAATTTCATCAAGCACAGTAATGAAAGTATTATGGTTTGGGGCTCCCCCCCTCATTGACAGAACAATTAATCTGATGTTGTATCAGTGAATTCTGGAGGAGAGTGTCAGAGGGTCAAGCAATAAGACTTGGACTGGCTGAGTCAAAGTCTGGACATAAACCTCCGTGACATGTTACAGCAGGATGTAATGCAAGTTCGTGCAAGCACATACAGGTCACCAGCCTAAAGCAGCTCTGTAAGGAACGGGAGAAAATTCTTTAAAGTCGATGAAAGTCATAGGACACATCTAGTTGAAGCCATTGCTCAAGGAGGTGCCACTGGTATCTGAAATTGAGGGTTCCCACAAGGATATTTACTGTTGGATGAACTAATACTAATGACTGCTATACATTTAATCAGTTTAACATAGCTTTTCAAGCTTTCTTGGCACTGTGGATTGTGTTGTGGGGGGGTACGTGGAGGTGCTCTGGAAATATTCCTGGATTGTGACACAAGGCTTTCATTTTAGCAGAATTTGACATAAAATTAACTTTTTGTTGGCACTAGTGACATGTCCGAAAGTCTGGGGGCTTCTGAACGTAGACCTCTAATTGTGATAGTGGCATATGTAACAGATGTCGCAAGCAATTTGGGTTCGTTATTTGGTTCAAGGAAGTTGATCCCATCACCAATGCAGAGGCAATTGGGGAAACCCAATATTTCTCCCCTTACATGTCCTTCTGGTTTCTCCCTGCCAGGAGGGGTGCCTGTGGCCATCGGACAATTCTGTTTCAAGGCAGGGACCTTCAGAGGTAAGAACGGGTTTAAAAGTAGCTGCTTCACACTATTAGAGAAGGTGATAGCTATTCACTTAAGCAAATGGCGTTGCAGACGCATTCTTCCAAAGCTTTTGTCCAATTTAAAATGACAAAGTAGTGGAAACAGTGTACTTGTTGTGCTTCCTTTGGACATCTCATTAGTGTTCTTTAGCATTTTGTATTTAGTTTGGGAGCACAAATTTTGAGTATGCTTTGAGATTAATGAAAACATTTCACACTAATGTCATTACCAAAAAGTATTTCTTTGTCTCGATATGAACTGTTTGACTAAACAGATGGTGTGAAAGACGGATTGTAAGAGGATGCAAATGTTCCATTTAGGTTGCAGTCTTGTGAGAAACATAGACCTATTCCACCCCTGTGATGAAAGATCTTGGCTCATAGCGATATATTTTGATAAACTACAGAGCTGGCATATCTGTTTGCTGCATATTTTCATTTTATTTAAAAATCTTCAGAATCTGCTGGCTGGGTGGACAAAGAGTGCAGTTTTTAAACTTTTCTTTTTTTCTTACAAATTTCAGATATCTAAAGCTTCATAACTTAAATTCTTTCCAGTGCCGTTTTTCAAATAGGGTTCAAACAGGACATATTTCTCCTGAGTTCTGATTCACCTGTCCAATAATGGATTTTAGTAGCTTTGGGGGGAGTTCACAGTGAAATGATTAAAAATGGAAGTAGTCCATTAAACCACATTTACCTGAAAAGGCCGGGTCAGAGATAAATTGTCCTGCAATTCAGAAATCTTAGTCTGGGAACTGCAAGGTTAAGAGACCAGTGTTTTAAAGTTCCCTTACACATTTTTGTTTTTTAAAGACAATTTGAAATCTATATTCAGAAACGAATGTGAATTTTATTTCTTGTTACACGTGGAAGTGTGGTCGCAGTCGATCAATTGTTTTAATCTTATTTAATTTTTTAGCTCCTCCTGAGCATGCATATCAATAGACTTTCGAAGTCCTGTTGCCGACGCGTCGTGCCGTTGTGCAGTGCCGAAGCCGGTTGCCTGTTCAGACGGACTTCCCTCTCCTTGCAGGTGATGTACGCCCCACAGTCCAGAGAGAGGTTCACCGCGCCGTCGTTTATGCACAGGGATCGATTCAGCCGCTTCCAGCCCACCTACCCCTACCTGCAGCACGAGATCGACCTGCCGCCCACCATCTCGCTGTCGGACGGAGAGGAGCCGCCGCCCTACCAGGGGCCCTGCACCCTGCAGCTGAGGGACCCCGAGCAGCAGATGGAGCTCAACAGGGAGTCGGTCCGGGCGCCGCCCAACAGGACCATATTTGACAGCGACTTGATCGACATCGGCCCGCACAGCGGGGGGCCGCGGCCGCCGAGCAGCAACTCGGGCATCAGCGCCACCAACTCCAGCAGCCACGGCCGGATGGAGGGGCCCCCGCCCACCTACACGGAGGTCATGGGGCACTACCCGGGCTCCTCGTTCTTTCTTCACCAGCACAGCAATAGTCCTCCTTCAGCGCTGCGGGCCGGAAGCCGGACAGCTCAGCCGAGCCATCCCGAGAGCACAACGGTCCCCGTCAAAGCCGAGGAAAGCCAGCGGGGCAACCTGGTGTGAGGACAGCCCGGTCCCTACCGCGCGCACGCGCGCCGGGCCTGCCCTCCGACCCAGGAGTGTGGCCGCTTTCTCTACACTCCCGTGCACAAACGCGATATCGTCCCCCGGCAGAGCAGCACGAACACGAAGGGGGTGGGGGGGGAAACAGGAAGAAGCCGAGCTGCAAACTGGGGCTTCTTTCACATCTTTTTACGATGGATTATGGGGGAGGGCGTGGGGGGGATGGGGTGCACACTGCGTGTAATTTTTTTCACTTCATAGCTAGCCGTTTTTTTATCGTTTCCTTTTAAATGAAAAAACAAAAACAAAGTATTAGCACAGATTCTAAACTTTTTTTTTAAATAAAGGACAATACTGGCCCTGAGCTAGAGGGAAGTTTAGGCAATTTTTAAAGACTGAGATCTATACACAACCAAGATTTGAAAACCAATCGAAATTCAAATCCGAGTGCCAAGAAATAATAGTGGGGATTAGATTGTATAACATTCACAAGAAAGAAAGTCCTCTAAAGTTGCACTATCTTATTGTTAAGAAGGGGGAACTGCTATATGTGATTTTTTTGTGCGTGTTGTCCTTTCATCTGTGGAATGAATACCAGCTCCAAAGATTTTTCAGTGGGAGCAATAGGGTTGTCCTTTTAATTTCAAAATCTAAAGGGATACGTAGATCCAGCCTACAATCCTCAAAACATTTGAAAAACATGGGGATGCTCAGTATTGATACACATTTTATAAATTCTTTTAACTTGTTTAAAGTGACCGCTTAATTATTTTTTCTTTGGAGTCTGTTGGATGGAAGACTTGTCATTGTTTTGGCAATTTAGTACCAAAATCATTTACAAAACTACTTCAGAAAATATTTTGAGGGCCATTAAGTGCAGACTGGAGCTCATCTTTTACTTTAAAACTAAACATTGTTTTACCAGACTATGAGAGAGATTGGTTTGAAAGCTCCCGTCTGCTTTTTATGAAAGGGTAGATGCCCTGTATACTCAATGCAATATAAGCGGATATGATATTTCGGTCCTTAATTGTCACTTTCACTTTTAAAAGTTGTTTGTTGTTTTTTTAAAAAAGTGATACTTTGGCAGATCTGCGAAGGGTCTTATAGAGATCTTCTGTTTGTCGATTGAAAAGAGCTGATGACAGCTTTGGTATGTTGTTTAAAAAGCTCTCCAAGAGTACACTGGAGTGGCTTGAACATTAAAGGCACGTGTGTGGATCGCAGATCGAGCCCTGTCTGCTGCCCTTGCCAGTGTGAGTTTGGTCCAGTGGGGATGGGTTTGACTGAGATGGCCAAGATGTCCTCAGCTTGCTATGCAGCAGCAACCACTGCTTCTGGCCAAATCCTGTGAGTTTGCATGTGTCACTTTACTGTATATTGCCTCTTATTCACACTGCAGACTCCTCAACTAATTGAAACTTTACATGATCAATACAAGCGATTAGGAAGTCGGACTGCAATGGATTGGAAGGGCTGCAGCAGGAATAAAGTTGCATCCGATTATCAGTACGTGCATTAAGACCTATAGGATAAGTCCCCTGTAGCTTATTTTAAAAAGTCAGTTTGACATTCACACTTTTAAAAACTTTTCTTACGTGCTTTATTGTCAATGTCCATATATAAGGAGTCATTAAGTCTAAATGATGGATGAAATAGGGCAAGCCATTTTTACCATAAAGACACTTTTTTTCATGTAACTTCCATACATTCTCACCATGTTTTTTAACAGAGTTATGGTGTCCTGTAGCACATTTCAACTGCTTTTTATGAGCTGGTCTTAAATGTATTACCTGTGCTAAATGACTATTTTCAGAGAATGTGGAACAAGGGCTCTTGAACACCATTGCCTTTGTGTTGTGGTGTGTATTGGTACATCATTTTAACCTTTTTATTTCATCAGATTCTTTCAATTGTTTGCCCGTAGCAAATCAGTGGCCGCACTTTTGATGTCCGTAAGAGTCTTGTGATTTGATTCAATCTTATAAATACCATCTCTTGGTGTTTCTTCCCAGAAATGTCCCGTCCATCTAAACACAAAAATGAAGATGACGAATTTGCCACTCGCTCAGTTTTTCCATCCAGCAGCACTCCCAATGGCAGACTGTTCCAGAGTCTATCCCAGACACTTTGTCTGGCTTCTCTCTTTTATAGGAGCCTAGGAAATAAGATTATAATGGGAAAACAAGGAAAATCCTATTTCACATAAGCCGTATATGAAGATTCAAGCTGGTGTTGGTGAAACCAGGTTTGGGACTGTCAAGTTAAGGGCTACGCGAGGGACCTTTTAATAACCTTCTTTCTTAGCCTTTTTCTGCGCTTGTTGCCTTGTTCTGTGTTATTGCTATCACACAGCAGTATCAAGAGAACTCCTACTTTGTACTTAATGTATTGCCCACCTGACTGAAAATTAAACGTAAGTGGAAGTACTTGTGCACAAAGCTTCCAGATCCTTTTCAAAATGAGTAAGCAGCCCTTTTGGTTAAGGGATGGGTATCCTGGGCCTTTGTTAAATCATCACCTTCCAAATGAGACTTCAGAACACTTTCGAAGTGCTGGCCAAGGTGCTCCAACAAAATTAAGGTCCTTCCAAGTGACTTGACTGGTCCTGAGCATGGGTCGAGCTCCACGGTCATGGGTTCGAGCCTGGGTCATGTTACTAGCTGGCTGCAACTAGGGTTGCCTGAGCAGCAAAGCACAGTTGGCTGAAGGCCTCAGTGGGTTGAAGTGGGATTAAATGGCAGGGCACTCTGGGCTCCCAGCAGCCTCCTCAGGTGTCTGCAGGCTTGTGGTCTGTTGGTGAGGGACACGCCTCTCCTTCAACCAGTTCTGATCCTCCTGCACAGGGCTGCTTTGTTTGCAGTGTGGTAATAGACAAGTGGTTCCACATTGGGCTGATTTGGAGGAGTCGACCTGCACTCTCTCATTCTCCTGTGCATGCTCACAGGTTCATAGATCCAAGTCAAGAGAGTTGGCTATTCCAGATCTGGTGGTTTTAACAGAAAAAAAACTTTAAAAAAAACTTCTACTTAGTATACTTCTTAACCATGCGGTTGCTTGGTTTCATGATGTCTCCCTTTGGTAAGTCTAAGTGACAGCAAGTAACTTTGCTGAAAACTTGAGAAATTGCTTAATTGGTTGAACTTTAGGGAGGCTAAATGGTATAAACCTTGAGTAGAAATTAGCCAAGATGCTGGGGTAGGCTCCCCTGTTCTTAGGAACAGTGCCATGGGATCTTTAATGACCAAGTAGAAAAGACTTTTGATTAACATCTCATCCAAAAGACAGCACCTCTTACAGCATATTGTCCCTGATCACCATAGAGAAGACTTTCTGGTACTGGGGGAAGGGTGCCACCTACTGGTCAACCAATAGCACTTACAGCTGCGACTTGTTTTCCTTGCAGCTCTCCCACCCCAGTACTGTACTGACCAGGCCCAGCCTTGCTTGGCCTCGAGATCAGGGTGTACACAGTTGTAAGGTTGCTGTCAATGCTGAAATTTAAAAGTTAGAAGTTTCTGGTGAAGAACTGAGGTAAATGTTCCTACAGAGAGATGAGCACCAGAGGCAAAAACAGAAACGGACATGAATGGAAATGTGCAGGGATCGATGTGCAGAAAGTCAGTTTGACTTGAAAGCTTTGAAAGCAGATATCCTTAATGTCCAGAACATAGAGAATTTCCTGAAGCAGCTCATTTGTTTTTTAATAAAGGCTTTTTGTTAATGCCTTCATTGTGAAGTAACTATTTCTATGGAGGATTTTTTTTTCCTCCAGAAAATACCTTTGAACAAGTTCAGTTTTTGTAATGGGGTGTTAGCATTTTGAAATGGATCTGAATTGTATTCCGTGTTCTGCAAATTGTGAAAGGGGCAATGTGACGCTTTGTATTTAGTATGAACAAACGCAAAAATATACCTCCCCCTGCCTAGACTTCATTCTGCTACTTCACTGTGTTTTGATGAGCAATGAAGACCTTTCTTTTTCTGTAAAAACTTTGATTTCAGATACGATTTTGAAGAAAACCTTCCTTACTTTGATACTGATGTATTGCTTGTCATGCATTAAGATGAACTCTGCCGTTCCATGCTAAAGACCAGAGTTTCTGTTTGTTGTTTCTATATTGCTGCTGCTATTGCTACTGCTGCTACTGCTACTACTGTTGTTGTTGTCAATTGTTTCATATGTTAGCTTCCTGTAGAGCTCAGTATTTGTTAGGACCTTTTTTGGTGTGAGAAGCAGTTATGTTTGTGCTTTTTCTTGTTTGCTTGTTCCGTCTGCTGTTGTAGTTCAAAAGGAAGAAAGTTTTTTTTTATTGTTTTCTATGAGGAGTTTTGCATGTTACTATTAATGTGAGCAAATAAGGTGCCTAATGTTCAGGTTTGAGCAGATGTAGGAACCCACTTGCACTCAAATGCTCCCACCTTCGTTGTGCCTCACTTTCCAATGGTGCTTTTTCAGTTGTCTGTCTTTCTTTGTTTATTTGTAAGGTGCTGTATATAACTTGAATATATATTATGCACATATCCTACCCAATGGGTAGAAACAACGGAAAAAAGACATTGTTAATAATGTAAGATAATGTATAGATATAAAATTTTAACACAATGGCATCAAATTTGTGAATGCCTCCAATGTGCTTTGTCTTTTTGTAAACAGGAAAACGTTTGCAAAGTAATGCATAAAAATTATTAAAAAAAACACTACTTATTATTTTCCTATAAATCTGTTATGGTGAGGAAGAAGAAAAACATGTTATGAATTTAGGCAGTTGTGGAACAGGATTATTAGTTGTTTGGTATCTTTTTTTTTTCCCAGAAAAAATAACCTGCAGCAGAGCGCTTGCCATTTGTGTGTGACACTGTTATTTGGTTGGACCAGTATTAGTTAAATAAACATATTTGACCAGAGCAGTGTCAAAATGTTGAAAGGTTTTTTTTTTGTTCTTTCCAAAAATCCAAAAATGAAGCTGCTGATTCTACAGAAGATTATTGAACCATAAGTGGAATGAAACTGGTAAGAAATGGCTTTTTTGCCCTCGGAAGTCTCCCAGGACATCTTTACTAATGATAGACCATGTCTCTGTGTGAATCTCCACAAGTGCTGACGTATTACTCTGCTGAAACTGACTGCATCCCTGTTAGGACTGGAGTTTCTTTAAAGACCGATTTTTAAACTTTGGCACCCAGGAAATGGTGCGTCAGGTATTTGTCAAGGGAAACAAGGGACTAGTCACCCATCTTAAAGCATTTTTAAACATTTCACTTATCTATTTATAATCCGGTTAGGGATTTAGAACCCTTGTAAGTATCATTTTCAGAGTCTTAATTCTCTACAGACGAGGGCCGTTGTCATTCAGAAAGGAGGTAATGGCACTTGAAAAGGCTTTTGCAACAACAAAGATTGCTCTGTGCTCTCACTTTAGAACTTCCTTGTGTCAGGACTGATTATGAAATACATGCTGGCCTGTTGCAACAGCTGACCAAAATTTCTCTCCCGATGTTTGCTGTTCACATTGACATGGTTTCCACGATCGTGGAAGGTGTGGAATGTCTACGTTGGACTGGTATTCTGTAATTCAGCAACACAACACTCACCCTTTTTCTAGAGCTGTAGGACGTGTTTTGAGATTCAGCCTGTGCAAGCAAATAGAATCCACAGCTCCAATTGCACTGTTTTGAGAGGAGGCCCATGAAGGCCTTCCACTTAGGAGGGATTAACAGGAGATTCATATTACGAATGTTAAGATTTTTACCGGGGTATCCTTGTCGACTTCTGTGGCTGCTGGGTTCATACTTCAGTTTTCCTGCCTGCACCTGCCAGATCAGTGGTAGCATTTGGTGGTGGTTGTCATTGGATATCTGCTCAGCTCGCCACAATAGTGCTTACCTGGGCAAAGTTCCAGGGAACACCAAGCCAGAACTTGAAGTTGATATTGTGGTGATGCAGAAAGATGGGTTCTGTCCACATGAGGATGAGTAGTATTCTGCTCAATAATTCAGAGACTGTTAATGCTGGTTTTGCCATTAGAACAGGTGGTACACAAGTCACAAAAGACCACTTTAACACTGTCTGGTGAGATGAGCATGGGATTTACCAAGCTGGATGCTGAAGTTGATATTAATGGCTTCCATGAAGGGTCTTGTTGCAGTTCTCCAATACTAAATGTTTTTTTTACTTTTTCAGCAAACCTTTGGTGTATTCTCATGGAATCTGCAGTCAAAACTGTTTTTTGGAGGAAATGCCACCTTTTGCCAGTATTGAGGAGACCGTCTTCCATGTTGGTGTGCAAACTGCAGTCATGATGACCAGGAATGACTATAATCAGTCATTTTGATCTTTCATGATGCTCTGTCATGCTGACAATTATGGTTTTTGTGGAACTGAAGCACACTTAAATGGTCCACCCCAGCTCTAATGGCTCTTGCTTGTGGCTGGCCAGTCTTGTGGTTCTGAGTCGGTCACAGGTCCTTCTAGTCAGTTTCCAGCACTGGATTTTGGTGGATTTTGGTGCTGGTGGGCAAGTGGACCCTGAATCTCTTAATGATTTTTCCTTGACCCCCTGCAGCACTCCTAGGGCACATTCACTCTTTCATTGAGCTACACCATGGCCACAGTGGGGAAACCCACAAATCCCTTGTGCACATGTAAACTCACCCCCATGCATTTCTTAATTGTGTTGTCTCACACCTCATGCTCAAGCAAAAAGGATACGAGAGCTCTAGATTGAGTACAGCCCCATCACGACCTCTTGTATTGTACTTAGACCAGTGAGCTGATTAGCGCTGCATATTTAATGAGGATGACAGTGCACTGCATTTCTAAAAGTGAGAACACAGTCCTGTAGTATAAAAATAAAGTACCTTCTGTGCATTTGGAGCAAAACATGTAAAAGCCATTTGAAAAAAGCTAGTTTTGGGGGAAGAAAGGAGTTTTTAGGCCTATATATAGAAGTTGAATGTACAAAGTGCTTTCAAATTGGCTATGCACAGCTGTCACCAATTCATCAGTGGACATTGTTTATACGAGTACTGCCTTCAAACAAATTAGTGTAATTCTTATTCCAAGATGTCTGATGCTCAGAGTTACCATTGGAGCTACCAGAAAAGAAACTGGAGGAAAACATGGTTTAATATTTTCACCTTTTTGTCTCATTTTATACTAAATCAGTGTACGTGGCATAGGAGAATGCACTTAAATTATGGTTTTGTTTACAAGTTGAGAAATCACTGCAGAATAACAGCTGAGCATACAACAGCTGAGGTTTATATACTGTATAGACTGTATTTTTTTTTTAATTTAAGCCGTTGTGATGTGATAGGTTTTAGACCCAAGATCTATTATTGCAATACGTTTACAAGAAAAAAAAGTTTAGTTGTCGCTCAAAGTGCTGTCATAGTCACAAATATTCCACTTGTACTTCTAGAGCCGTGGTCAAACCATGGTGGAATTATTAAAACTTTAAAAAGAAGTGCATGTCTTGTGTGGTTTGTTGGAGCAGATTGTGCAGCAGCTTGTCCTTGGCCCACGTGAGCAGTTTAGTCTAGAAAATCTGTAAAAACATTGTCCTTCAACCCGTTTTACCCTGCAAATAATGACAACGGTGCCTGATCTAGGAGCAGAAACAAGACACGAGAAAGTATGTTTGTGGTCAGCTGTGGCCCGGAGAATTTTAATGAGATCTGAGTGTTCTGTTTCTAGATTATTGATCCACAAAACTCCCACAGTTG